GTCAAAAAAATCGTTGAGCCGTTTTGGCGGAAGTGACGAACTGCAAGCTTTGAATGCTTATATCTTCTAAATGCGAATTTTGTCACTGTTTTGGAGCACACTGCCTTATAGATACCCTTAAGACTAACATATTGATACTAACACCCAAAAAACTTTAATTTTGATTTCATGGGGACTTTAGGACACAGAACAGCATACATTGTTTACGTCCAACTGAAATTCTCCAAAATGGCAGCAGGGTGATGCGGAGGAGACGAATTGTTGAATAAAATCTTTTTTTTTTTTCTTTAGCGCACAACAATTATTCTCGTAGCTTCGTATGATTGCTGATGAACCACTGATGTCACATGGATTATTTTACAGATCTCCTTGCTATGTTTCTGGACTTGGGAACATTTCAGTTGCGTTGCTGTCTATGCAGGGTCAGACAGCTCTCAGATTCCATCAAAAATATCTTAATTTGTGCTCCGAAGATGAACGAAGGTCTTACGGGTTTGAAACGACATGAGGGTGAGTAATTAATGACAGAGTTTTCATTTTTGGGTGAACTAACCCTTTCATATTTCATCTCAAATTGTCACTTTTACTATCTTTCAGGCTGAAGTGACCTCAAGACCACAACTAAACCTGCTCCCCTTATATCTCCTGTCCTTGCTGCTTCTCAGTTAGCCTCATATCTCAGAGATGCACTTCCTGTGTAGTGCTTCATCCAGACAAACCCGTCACACAGAGCACCTGAGCGGCTGAAGCCCAGCGCCCCCTGCCGCACAACCGCAGCTGCACACCAACACATCCGTGCTGCGGCTTCTCCAACATGGACGGTTCTTAAAGAAAGCAGCCCGGCAGATACACTGCCCTTCAAACGTTTGGGATCAATAAGATTTGTAACGTTTTTAAAGAAGTCTCTTATACTCATCACGGCTGCATTTATTTGATCAGAAATACAGAAAAACTGTAATATTGTGACATATTATTGCAATTTAAAATAATGGTTTTCTATTTTAATATACTTTAAAATGTAATTTATTGCTGGGATCAAAGCTGAATTTTTCAGCATCATTACGCCAGTCTTTCAGTGTCACATGATCCTTCAGAAATCATTCTAATATGCTGATTTATTATCAATGTTGGAAACAGTTTTTTGGAACCTGTAATACTTTTTTTTCAGGGTTCTTTGATGAATAAAAAGTTCAAAAGAGCAGCATTTGTTCAAAATAGACATAGTTTGGGGTCAGTATTTTTTTTTTCTATTTTTCTTTCTTTTTTTTTAATGCTTTTATTCAGAAAGAAAGTGTTAAATTGATAAAAAGTGATGATAAAGACTCAAATTGTTAAAAAGATTTCTATTTTAAATAAATGCTGTTCTTTTTAATTTTATTCATCAAATAAGCCTGGGAAAAAAAGTATCACAGGTTCCCAAAAAAATATTAAGCAGCACAACTGTTTCCAATATGGATAATAAATCAGCATATTATAATGATTTCTGAAGGATCATGTGACACTGAAGACTGGAGTAATGCTGCTGAAAATCAGCTTTGATCACAGGAATAAATTACATTTTAAAGTAGCCTATATTAAAATAGAAAAGTGTTATTTTAAATTGCAATAATATTTCACAATATTACAGTTTTTTCTGTATTTCTGATCAAATAAATGCAGCCATGATGAGTAGAAGAGACTTCTTTCAAAAACATTACAAATCTTACTGATCCCAAACTCTTGAACAGCAGTGTATGTACTAGCCTATCTGTATTTTTTTGTCTAGCTATTTCTTTGTTTTTCCTCTGGTGCGTTTTCCCTCATGGTCATGTCTCATATCAGTTCGTCTTATAGTTCAATATATTGTTTGGTTTTATGTTTTGGTGTTGCTGTTTATTGTTTATAGCTGTAGTAAAGTACACGTCTTTAAAATGTTTCAATAAGGGATGGTTGTATTTCACGTGTTCTGTAACTATCTATTAAAATGAGACTTAAGAAACGTGCTTTTGTTGTAATTTGCTTTAATGTTCATATAGTCAAGGTTTAATCTTTGAAAGGTTTTTTTAAAATACATTTTGTGTAATGTGGATTTAATCTCTAACAGCGACCAATCAGAGGACAGACACTCTTGGATGTTTTTGGATCAAGGCAGGTGGCGTTTGACTCGGCTGTTTTACATGACAATCAATATTATAATGCTTTCGTTTTAATCCTCTTCTTACGAAATGCGGTCGGTGACCAAAAATCAACCAATGAGTTTTCGGAGATCATATACGTTCGTTGAAAGGTTTATAATTCAAGAAAAATATTCTTGCCAGTAATAGGCTGCCATAATGACCCGATTTTCACTCCGCAGCCAATGAACTGCCCGTTATAAGCAACAATACGAACATTTATTGGCTCCCGAAATATAATGAACGAACAAGGGGCGTTGACGATCAAAACCTCCCTTATGATGGGCATCAGTTTGAACCAATCATCTCTCGCCTAATTTGCATTCCCGCCACCTCATTGGCTGTTTATTCCAGGGGCGTGTCGTTTGAGTAGAAAGTGGTGGAGTGTGTGTATCGTGACAATCCGAAAATGGCGGATGAAAGCGAATTGATTTAACTTTATCGTACAAAAATAAGAATATCAAGTGAAGAACGACAAAATTGCACAGGATGAATTTGCAGTCCAACGCGAATTTTTAAGCCTATTTTCCCAGAGCGACTCGACACTATCGGCAGAAAGAGAAAGTAGAAGGATAGGTATTGTTTAAAGGTCTTTTTTTGTTTTGTTTCTAGCAGGCTAACGGGCCAGCGCGGGTTGTCAATGTTAGTGCTAACGTATGTGAATTAGCTGGTTAGCCTCCACTGTCAGGGGCTTGACTTTGCTACTTTAATCCCACCATATGCTTTTCAGTAATAGAGTAGTTACAACTGAGCCTTGCGATGAAAACAAGCCCACATTTAAGTGGAACTATATTAGCATTAACGTTACAGGTTCTCGGTCAAAAGTAGTGGAGCGTTCGCTCAGGCTAGCCGCTTCAGAACGGAAATACATGTCAGTTATCTGTCACAGCACCTCACTGTTTATTTACTTCATGAGCAGCAGATGAAAGATGTTCGATTGCTTGACGTTTAAAATGTGTAGTTTTGATTCGTTGTCTGAGAAATGGGAAGTTGGGAGCGTTTAAACAGACTCTGTTGTCTGATCGTACTGCTGGTTTACATAATGACTGTGTCTCAAAGCCTAGTGAGCCTCCTACCTAGACAGCATTTAACTCTGCTGTTGTGTATGCTGTTAGGTAGGCAGCTCAGTGGGGTTTGTGACACATGAACCGGTTGCAGCTGATTTCAGTCTGCTGCAGTTAATATCTCTTCTGGTTTTTATGACATTTAATGTGTCATGATAACTATACTTTCCGTGGAGTATTTTTTTTTTTTTTCGACGTATGTTAAGTAGGTAATCAGTTGATACGTTAAAGTTAAGGTTGGTGATTTGTTTAGCAATCTTCCAGTCACTCAAGCTGGTTTCAGCTCTATTGATTCATTAACGCAGTTCCACTCGCCGCACCTGATGCCATTTATTGATTACAGCGTCTGCAAGGAACCTTCTAGTAATTGATCCCTTCATTTTCAGAGCATGGAAGAGAGTTCCCGTTATAGCAAACGCCTGGTAAGTTTCTCATTTACTCAACAGCTATTACGTGAACTAAATTGCTGTCTGGGGAACATTTGTATGTAGTTTTAACCGAGCTGTAACTGCGGTATACCGTCGACAGCTGGCGCTCTTGGCCTGTCGTCACACCCGAGGGCTTTGTTGATGTTACAGTGCACGCGTCAAAGGGAAGAGACTGTCAAAACCTCATTCTCATGTGTTTACACTGCCTTGTCACTTAGACTGTGCCACAGCAGCAGGAAAATGAATAGAGCAAGCTAGTGTTATAGAGGCCTTTTTTGCTTTTGTTAATTGTATAATAAATAAAAAGAAAACAAATAGAATGCAAAAAGATTAGAGAAGCTAGTGTTTTTTTTTTTTTTTAAAGAAAACAAGCAGTTAGTAAATTAATAGAGTGCAAGTCTAAAAGGGGCAATTTTTTTTAAAGAATAGAATTAGAATAGAGAGTGCTAGAGTTAGAGGGTCAGATAAAGATGGAAGAGATGTGTTTTTAGCCGATTCTTGAAGATTGACTCAGCTGCTCGGATTGAGTTAATTTCTGTGTTAATCTGAGTATTGTTACCTCAACGTGTTATTTTGTTTTCTGTTTTCAGCGGACTGGCACGCGGCGGCGTTACCAAGATGACAGCATTTCAGATGATGAAATCGAAGGGAAGAGGTCCTTTGACGTTGACGAGAAACTCCAAAGTGATCGATACAACTCAGATCTGGTCAAAATTATGGATGGGAAAGGTGCGTTTTGGACCTTGCTTGTTGTTTAGTTCCTGCACTGACTTATGGTGAGCTCCATGTGCTGAGTTCCGGTTCCTCTTATCCTAGCTAACCATATTGTGAGTTTTCTTTGCCAGTGCCACCAATGATTTGGTTATGAAGCAACATTTTCTGTAAAGCTGTTTTGAAATACTCAAAACTTGCCGTTATTTGGAGATCCAAGTTAACGGTGCATGGTGTTCTTTGCAGACTTCACCTTGGAGTACATCCAACGGGAGGGACTCCGGGACCCCATTATCTTCAAGAAAGCAGATGGTCTTGGCATAAAGTATGGCCCATTTCATGATGCCAGTGTTTGTGGCCACTGAACCCATTTGAAACTTATCAGCTCATTATTTTATCGGTCTTTTGTAGGATGCCTGACCCAGACTTTAGTGTCAGTGATGTGAAATTGTTTGTGGGTAAGAAGAGAAGGTTTTTGTTCCTCTCTCACTCTCATGCCTTGAGCATTTTTATTATCAGTGACACCTGCTAACAGTCCCTCCCCTATTTTTGCTCTGATAGGCAGTCGCAGGATGGTTGATGTGATGGATGTGACCACTCAAAAAGGCATCGAGATGTCAATGGGACAGTGGAGGAGATACTACGAGACGCCGCCTTCTGAACGTGAAAAGCTGTATAATGTGATCAGCCTGGAGTTCAGTCACACAAAACTAGAGCATCTAGTCAAGAGACCTACCTCGGTATGTGCACACGCAATTAGTGGTCAATAGGGTTGGGCCGATAGACGATGCCATCGTCCATTGCCGATGGCTGATAGACATCACGATGTTGAGCCGGCATGGTGATCCCCCACCCATTCCCCCCGCATCCCAATACCATGTTCGGAAAGAAAATTATGTGTAGGCGGAACCCCCTAAAGGGAATAAATACGAGATGGGAGGAAAATATATATTTCAATATTTTTCCTCGCAGTTATTTAATTGGGTAATTATACTACATATTTCGGCATCAGGGACCCACTATTATACCTGGCATTGAAACTGGCATCGTGCTTTTGAATGCACGATCGCTTTTAGTTTCACTTTCACTTTCGAGATTCGCGATAGCACATACTCTGTTTATACTATGGAGCGGCAGTACTTGCCACACATTTTATATGTTTGTCAGTGGTACTGAGGATCTGCAAATCATTTGCCATCGTCCTCAGTCATTATATATAATGAATCTCTATTATAGATCAGTGGTTCTATAGTATTTTGACGCTCTGCGCCGCTCACGTCCGGTGTAGACACGGTGTTAGGAATCGTGTTTTCCCTTATAAGGAAGGATTCACGCTTCGGGCACACCCCCTAACTCTTCGCCCACACCCCTCCCCCCGCTCGCCCCCGCCGATGTCATCGTCCATCGCGATGTTTCACTGTAGACATCGTCCGATGCCAATTTTGTAGACATCGCCCAACCCTAGTGGTCAACAGATATCGAGTGTTTGCTAAATGTCTGTAATGATAAAATCTTTTGGCACTATTGGATATTAACAAAAATGAATGTGATATCAAATGATAATAATACAAATACAATAATAAAAATAGTATTGTTATACTATTATTGTATGATAATAATAATTAAATAAAAATAATGAATACAATTAAATGATTAGAAATAATAGTATGTGATTTAAAATATCAAAGCAGCACTGGAGGGTAATTAATATAGGATGCAATAAAAACAGATGAAGCATTGGCATTATTTAAGCTAATTTTATGAACATTGTTGGTAGTTGTCATATCAGCAAAATACATTTTCGGGTTGACCTCTGCACAAGCATTCATGCCTTTTTTTGTGCGAAACATTTTATGTGTTGGCATGTTTTAATTAGGTTGATATGATTGACTGGGTGGACAACATGTGGCCACGGCATCTTAAAGAAAGACAGAGAGACTCCACCAATGCCATTATAGACATGCAGTACCCTAAAGTACAGAAGTGAGTTGTTTTGTTTTATTAATTCATACAGTTCCATTTAAACCTTTTTTGTTTGAACACTAGGGCAATGCGAACTTGCTTTATGAAGATTGTTCATATCAGTCGTGTGTGTTTTTCAGGTATTGTCTGATGAGTGTCGAGAGATGCTTCACAGATTTCCACATAGACTTTGGTGGCACATCAGTCTGGTATCATATCCTCAGGGGAAGGAAGGTGAGTGCTTTCTTAAAGGTACAATGTTATGTAGTTCAGAATGAATTACTTCAACAAATACTCTCACTGAACACTGTATATACTATGTACTTCCAACTTCAACAGAACTAGTATGTGAAACAGAATGCATAATGCAGTAATTAAACATTTCAAACAGTGTTATGCTTCTATGTGACTTCAACATGTTGCATGTTTAATTCAGTGCTAATTCATGGAGTGCTTTCTAATTTTCATGGGAAATATTTAGCACAATTAATCCAATTTGGTCTAAAATGTCTTAACATTGTCTAGTCTAATTAAATAAGTCATGAAAGCATTCATGACTGTAATTACTTCGAGTTCAGAGGTCAGGCTGTCAAGGGTCTACAGATGAAAAATCTTTCTTTTCAAAATTTGCGCACATTTACAGCCATATTTATTAATGTGCATTGCCCCTGTAACAACTAAACTAAACAAAAATGCTGTAAATAAAAGGTTACGTCAACCACATTGCACTGTGGGATATGGTATTGCATGCATGCAGTCTGTTCTGTTGTATACTGCATGTTTAGGCAATATAGTAGGCTATCAGGTTATTGTTGCTTACAGACAATACTATGTGCAGTGTAAATGCTGTATACTGCAGAAATTATAATGGTAGTATAGTAGCAAGCTATTTCAAACGTACACTACCATTCAGAATTTTGTTGGAAAGGTTTTTTTTAATGTTTTTGAAATCTCTTCTGCTCGGCAAGGCTCCATTTTATTTAATAAAAAATTCTGTAAAAGCAGTAATATTGTGAAATATTACAATTTTATATTTTATACAACTTTTCTATTTGAGTTTATTTTATAATGTAATTTATTTCTGTGAACAAAGTTGAGTTTTCAGCCTCATTACTCCAGCCTTCAGTGCCACATGATTCTTTAGAAATCATTCTAATACTCTAATTTGCTGCTTAAGAGACATCTGATTATCAATTATGAAAACAGTTGTGCTACTCCATATTTTTGTAGAAACAGCAACACATTTTTTCAGGATTCTTTGATGAACAGAAAGATCAGAAGAACAGCATTTACTTTGTAACAAATCTTTGTAACATTATAAATGTCTTTGCTGTCACTTTTGGTCAATTGAATGTGTCCTTGCTGAATAAATGTTAATTTCTTAAAAAAAAAAAAAAACCTGATTGACCCCGAGTTTTTGTCCATTAGTGTAGTTAGAGATTTGGGATTTCTTAGTGCTTTAAACCATTAAATGTGATGAGAATCATCTTCTTTCTCAGCTCTAATTGCTATCGGGCTGCTTGCTCGTTTTGGATCAGCCTCTCCTTCTCAAATCGTCTTGTTTCTCCATAATTGCAGCATTTATAAACTTTTCGAACCTGTGTGTCAGTCAACCCATCTGATGTTTCATAATGGCCTGTCCTTATTGACCTTGTTGTGCTGAATGATCTCAGGTGTTCTGGCTGATCCCGCCCACACCTCAGAACCTGGAGCTCTATGAGAACTGGGTGTTGTCAGGGAAACAGGGTGACATCTTTCTCGGCGATAAAGCCACGATGTGCCAACGGATTGAACTGAAGCAAGGCTACACATTCATGATCCCCTCAGGTACACATGCTCATCATGCTTTAAACGCTTTAGGTAGGAATCTTACAGGTTTTCTCGGACCAAACCACTCTGTTTGTGTGTGTAGGGTGGATCCATGCAGTTTACACTCCAATGGATACGCTGGTGTTTGGGGGAAACTTTCTGCACAGCTTTAACATTCCCATGCAGCTCAACATTTACAACATTGAGGACCGCACACGAGTGAGCACTCAAACGAACACTTGATTATTATTCCATTTGATGCCCATTTGTGAACTTTTTCTGACTGTCTCTGTGGTTTATCTGTGCAGGTCCCTACTAAGTTCCGCTACCCTTTCTACTTTGAGATGTGCTGGTATGTGTTGGAGCGTTACTTGTACTGTCTGACCAACACGTCTCACCTCACACCTGAGTTCCAGAAGCACTCACTGGGCATTGGTCAGGGAACAACCTTTTTTTAACCAACTAATAGCACATCAATACAACGGTAATTACATTGACACACCTGTTTTGTGCTTCACAGGGCTGACGAAGGAGGATGTGATTAAACAAGGAGGATTTAATAGTGATGCAGAAAATGTTGAGAAAGAGGAGGAGACGGTGAAGGAGGAGCCAGAGGAAGAGGCAGCATCTCCTGCTCGTCCAGGGGTGAAAGTTCACCTGACACCCTTAGAGCTGGAAGGGCTTTGGGAATTACTGCACAGGTTGGAGGAATTGCCAGCACACAAGAAATGTGTTCCATCAGGCATCAGAAATGCCCCAGCACTGCTCAGTGACATACGGGTATGAACATAAACGCCATGTGGCCATAGAAATATAGTTGTTGTTTTTTTTTCAGTAACAAGCTCATAGAATTTTTCTGTTTTTCTTTCTGTCCCAACAGAAGCTGCTAGAGGAACATGCCAATGATAACCCCAAATTGTCTTACACTGGAAAACCAATTGTCAAATGGCCCAAAAGGGTAGGTTATACACTATGACCACCGTTTCATACAGCATGTACAGATGTGGTGAGTTGAAGTAAAAATGTGTCTGCTTCTGTCTAGCCCTCGTGGTATGAGCCGCCGCCGCCTCTGTCTCTGCTGTACCGCCCACGTGTTCCCGGTTCAGCCCCTGTGTTGCCGCCGGTACCTCGACCCGTGAAGCCGTCTTCCTCCATCTCAGCTCTGAGACGCAGGCGCGTGCGCTGCAAACGCTGCGAGGCCTGTCTGCGCACCGAGTGCGGCGACTGCAACTACTGTAGGGACATGAGGAAGTTTGGAGGACCAGGCAGACTCAAGAAGAGCTGTGTTCTCCGTCAGTGTCTTGCAGTGAGTGTCTGTGTTCAGTGTCATCAGTCAAATTAATGTTAGAAAGGCTTTTTTTTTTGTTTGTTTTTTAATGTTAGAAAATTTTGTTAAAGTTTTGTCCATTACATTTATGCTACTTTTTTAAAATATTGATAATAATCAGAAATGTTTCTTGAGCAGCAAATTGGCATATTAGGATGTTTTCAGAAGGATCATGTGACACTGAAGACTGGAGTAATGATGCTGAACATTCAACTAAAAATAATATTCAAATATTGTATATTCATATGGAGCATATTAAAATGGAGAATGGTTATTTTCAATGGTAATAATATTTTGCAATACTTCTGTTTTTAAAATAAAATAAATGCAGCCTAGATGAGCATGAGAGACTTCTTTCAAACGCATAAAAAAATGCATCAACCCCAAACATTTGAATAGGAGCGTATGTAATTGTGCTTATTGTTGTCATTTAAAATTGTTAACACCTGAAATTAAATGTGGTGTTAGTCAGAGTAAAATTGACTTGTCCATGTTAATGAATGAATACAATTTGACAGAAATATTGTCTAAAGGAAAGCATTGTCAAGAAAAACTAAAGCATAAGTTGTATAAAAATGAACTCTGTACTATGTTTGAGAGTGTTGTATCTCACGCTTGTGTTTCTAGCCGGCGCTACCTCTTACTGCAGTATGTGCCATATGTAAGGAAGGCTATCAAGAGTCTGAAGACTCCAAATCCGTCCAAACGCTCATGGAATGCTCCGAATGCGCTCAGATCACTCATCCAGAATGTATAAAGGTACGTGTCTGTCCCACATCTTGCTTGTATGGAATTAGCTGTTATATGTACTGTTATGTTAATGCCACATGTGTATATTGCAGGTGCCCGGTGAGGGTATTATTAATAAGGACCTTCCCAGTTGTTGGGAATGTCCAAAATGTGTCCAGGGCAAAAACATAGAGGTATGCTTTCTGCTTTTGGCAGCTGTCTTTTTTTTAAACGCAACAAGTCATCCTGTTTAAACAAGCCTTTGCTTGACTCACTCCTCAGATGATAATTGGATCTAATTTGATAATGATTGTGTAATTTGTTTTGTTTTTTTTCTTCACCTGAAGTCTTCCAGTAGTAGTGAGGAAGAGACAGACAGCAGCGTGTCCAACAGCAGTCACTTGTCTGGTCCTCCGGCTAAGCGGGCATACAGAGAAGGGATTGGGGTGGGGGGTCTGCGTATAGGGCGCAGAGGTCGCCCACCCCTCTCCCCCTCCTCCCTGGCTCTGACCCGCTCCAGACGGCAGCCGCCCCCATCCCAGAGACTCCTGCTGCAGCACCAGCAGAACAGGAGGAGAGCAGGAGCACTGGAGTTACAGCTCAGGAAAAGGGTAAGTATGCACACAGGTGCACATACAGTACATATGGTTTACTGATATAATGTTGCTTTCCATTCATTACATTTGTTGGACAACATATTTATGACAACCTTTATAGTCAGAAATTGAAATTTTTTTAAAAATTTTTTTATGTGTTTGAAAGAAGTCTCTTATGCACATTATGGCTGCATTTATTTGATCAAAAATATTGTACAAATGATTACATATTTCAATATAAAATAACTGCTTTCTTTTTACCATCTGACACTTCTGTGGTGCTAAGTGATGATGTCAGAGGCCAGGGGTCCTGCGTCACGGTGACGTTACAGCCATCGAGGGGTAGGCGCGACCCTAGCGCCATTGTTCCCAAACTGGAAGCCAACTTGTCTTCTAGAAGCCTTCCTCAAAACCACAAAGCCCTGCTCCGTCCCCCACTGCGAAATGGCGCCCCTCGCTCAGACGGTCCTCATTCCCCTGCGGACAGATTGCATGTAAACAAATCACTCGCTCTTTCGTCATCACCTCACACTCTGACCAGAAGCGCATCCAAACACTCACACATGGTGCGGAGTCTGAGATCAAACTTGAAAGAGTCCCCTCACCGGCTGCCTCGAGAGAGAATTGGGAAAAAGACTCGATCGGAAAAGGCGAAGTCTTCCGACTCTTGTCCCAGTTCCACCTTGCGGCACTCAGCGGAGCAGAACGGAGGGAACGAGCCAGGCTGGGAGAGAGAGGTTTGGGTGTCCGTGTTCCGCTACTTGACTCGTGCAGAGCTGTGCATTTGCATGGCTGTTTGCAAGAGTTGGTACAAATGGTGAGTGCATGATTACCACACATCTGCCTGTTCCTGTGGCTGTGTTAAAAAATCTAGTGAGCTACCTTGTTGTTTACTGTCAACATAGGGAGGTTCTTTCTGAAACGGCGTACTAACTGAAACTAACCTTATAAGTGACTGATGGGAAATGCTCTACATGGGCAGCAACCCCATACTCCATGCAAATAGTGTATTTGTAGGGCTGCATGACAACTTACTGTGTATTATTATTTTTATTATTTGTTTTAAATGATTTTTTTTTAGCAACATCATATGACCCTTTTAATAAATAATAATAATAACAACAATAGCTATTGTAATTTTACTGTAAAATAAAAATTACTATTTACAATTTTTTTTATAGTACAACTGTTAAATGACTAATATATATATTTTTTATATATAAAATATAATGTATATAAAAATATATAATATAAAAAAAAAATATATATATATATATATTTATTTTGGTGGAAAAATGCAGGAGGCCCTTAAAACTTCACGTTATGTTGACAACAGGTAGTTTATATGTTTATCTCATTACAATTTTGGGAAAATGGTTGGCGCTTTTTCAAGTGTACGCAAACTAATGGAGATCTTGCCCATGATACTTTAAATGTTGCCTATGATGGCAGCTCTCTAGACTTTGGAACAGAGCAAAAATGTGTGTGTTTGTTCTAATACACTGGTGTGATTATAGGGGCTGTGACAAGCGTTTATGGACGCGGATCAGTCTGAGCCGCTGCCGCTCTATAAGTCCTCAGGCCCTCACGGGCATCATCAAACGGCAGCCTGTCACACTGGACCTCTCCTGGGCCAAAATCTCCAAGAAGCAGCTCAGCTGGCTCATCAACCGCCTGCCAGGTGCCTGTTCTCCCATCACCACTGCATCTGTTTTAATACACAGTACATTTTATGATATTACTCACAGGCAGCTCTCTCACAGGCCTTAAAGATCTGGTGCTATCAGGGTGCAATTGGGCGTCAGTCTCTGCACTGAGCTCTCCAAGCTGTCCTTTACTGCGCTCTTTAGACCTGAGCTGGGCCGATGGTGTCAAAGATGCACAAATCAGGGAGCTGCTGAACCCACCAGGTAATCCTAAGACAACTCAACTGTTATTTGTTGCTATTTCCTGTATTACATGGTGTGTGTGTGATATTGACAAAAAAAAAAAGTCTCAATATTTTCTGGGATTTTGATGATAATGATAATTAGACCGAGTGTGTTTGTGCTGGTGCCTTAGCTGGTTGAGGTCTGTCATGGACAGCTGACTGCCTAAGCTTGTCGTATTCTGTGCAGTGGTCAGTTCACAGCAGTATTTAAAATTAATTTCCATTATGGGGCAATGTTTGTTCCCTTAAACTAATTTCAAGGTAATTTTTACCTTTTTTAAGGGCATTTTACCTTTTTTTTTTCCCTTTTTTTACTCTACTACATGTATGTATCATCTTTTGTCAAATTATTACTTTTATCAATAATTTCAGTTACTAATTTATCTAAGTTCAGACACTGTTACAATTAAAATCAACAAAATCCATCTTTGCACTGCAGCGGTGGCACAGAAGGTGCATCTGAAAAGGCATGTATTCACACAGACTTTAATGCAGCTCAAAAGTGGGTTGCATGCATTTACAATTGCGTTTTTATTTTTTATTTTTTTAAAAGTCATATTTAATTATGAAATGGTTTTAAGAAATTGAAATGATGATTTAAGTATGAAACACAAACCGGTAGTGGGTGGTGGCAAGTCACTGTCTTAAAGGAATAGTTTATATTTTGGGTGAACCATGCTTTTAATGAGTTAAACCATTGAGTCATTTGTTCAGCTGGCTGATTCATTTGACCATTTAATCATTCATTAAATTGATTCATTCCAAATGCAGATTCACTCACTTATAAAGCACTGCTATGTGTTGCTTGGAGATGCAAAACAAGACACAAGAACACATGAGTGGCATACCTAATATCGTAATTTTTAATGATGTGCAAACTGAAATTATCGTAGGCTATACTTATCGCACACCACTCCTTGAATCCCGTGTCTGTAGGCAGTGATAACCGTTCCCAGATGAAGAACATGCAGTGCTTGTGGCTGTGCGGTCTGGAGGTGACCGAAGCCACGCTGAGGCTGATCATCAGACACATGCCTCTGCTCACTCGTCTGGAGCTCTCGCATTGTCCCATCACAGATGGTGCTCTCAACCTCCTCAGCGCCGTGGGCTCCTCCACACGCAACACACTCACACACCTCAACCTGGCAGGTACGCAAACGCACACCACCATGTTTACAGCTCCCAAATAAGGAGTGGACACATTAAACATGAATGAACCATTCTTCCCTGTTTGATGTCGTCGTCAGGTTGCAGCCGCCTGACAGACCGTTGTCTGGTGTATCTGCGGCGTTTGTCCTGTCTCTCCGTACTGGACCTGGGCGGCTGCAAAGGGGTCTCGCGGCAAGCGTGCGAAAGCTTTATCTCCGAGCTGTCTGTCAATGCCCTCTACTGCCTATCAGATGACAAGCTCATCCAGAGGATATCGTAAAACCCGCCCTCCTCGGGGAGAGAGAGACTTTGTGAATATTTGTTTGACTGAGAAGGACTGCAGAGTCCGAATGTGTGTGAGTGATGGCTTCTGTAGGTCTGTAGGGAGGCTCTCTGACAGAGGACCGGGTTTCATGTATAGCAGCTTAGGAGGGAGGGGCTCAAAGCATCCAGGGTGGGGCTTATGTATAAATAGGTCTGGGTGATGAGTATTCTTTTGTAGTTAACTATTTACCTTTTTTCTGTGTTCACACAAACACTGCAATTGGCAATCAGATCGGTTCTCAGGCCTGTCATGCCATGGGCTCTTCTATTAAAGAGATCAACAGGTGCTATTCCTTTACAGTTTGATTTCTATTTCAGAGCAGCTTTCTGTCTGCCTTTAAAAACCTTCGCTTCTACTGTTGTCTGATACTCTAATCCATTGTCCAGATCCTGTCATCTAGACGCAGATTCATTTATCCTCAGTAGTGTGGAGGTTTTGCATTGCATTTATTTTTTCCCCCCCACTCATCCCCTTACT